AGGCCCAACGCACAATCTTAGTAGGTAGGTGCACTCTGCATCTCTCTCTCTCTCTCTCGCGCTCTGCATCTCTCTCTGTCGTTCTGGTTATGCCTCGCTTTCTTGCTCTCCGCGCTTGCCTGGGCTGCATGTGGAAGCAGGGATTGTGTGTATGGAAGCATGGATGGTTCTCGGCATGTATTGCTGTGTATACACTTCTATCTACACACACGCAAACACACACACACACACATGCGAAACATATGGCAAACAGTATACTTAGGCAGGCAGGTAGGGAGAAAAGCAGTTGAATAGGTAAGGAGTTAATCAAACAAAAAACTAAAATCTGATAGACATATAGTGAGATAGACAGATAGATGATAGACCAACAGATAGATAGGTAGTTAGGTAGATAGACAGGTAGATTGATAGATCGATAGACAGACCGATGGATAGACATACAAGTCGATGCAGATCGCTTGGATTGGACTGGATCGGATTGGAAGACGGGAAGGTGAGAGTTAGGTAGTAGTTAGATTGATAGATAGCTAGCTAGCTAGATTAGGGTAGAGTGGATTAGATTAGATGAGGTTCCATTAATCAGATGAGCAGGCAGGCAGGTAGAGAGGCAGGTAGGTGGGTGAGTAGGCTGATAGATACTCGATGTATGGTCGGACGGCTGGACAGATGAGTAGATAGGTAGGTCAGTATCCATGTACGTACGTCGCACACACGATGCGGTACCGTCTAAACTGCAGCATTTTGCGTGAACCTGACAGATTTACAGGTAAGAAAGCTTCACCGGACACGAAGATCCAAAAGTCAAAGTTCAATGTTTCGCGTTCAGGATGAGATCCATTCCAGCGTCATGGCGGCCTTGGCTGAAGGTGTCGACATTAGTTCTTTTGACGTCCACAAGCAAGCAGCGAATATTTGCATGGACGTGCTGAGCTCCCTCCCGAGGACAGCCGAGGAGGATCCGTTTCGTGAGGCCTTGAAGCTTGCAACTGCAGCCCGCAGGTCAGGGGCACAATCCGATATTATTTTGGCGTGTCTGATGCATGCTGCATCCCGGCCACATACTTTGGAGATTTGGACCCAGGTCGCTCGGGCCAACTTCAGACAGCTCCTGGATGTTGGAGAAACGATCTCGCCCTTGGCAAGGATGGGCTTTGCCACTGAGGTCGTGGCATTCGCCCAGAAAGTTGAAGACGGTTGGCGCTTCGATGGCCTGTCACGGGAAGAGCAAACGAATTTCCTGGCCATTCCTGAAGCCGAAACGTTGCTCCAGTGCATCCGCGCATGCCGCGACGGCATGGCATCTTCGACGCCTGACTCTTTCCATGGTCTTCTCAACGAGCATTTCCAGCAGCAGTCAAAGTGATCTCAGTCGCAATGGCAAATGCGCCTGGAAGGCAAAACGAGATCTCGAACCGACCGAACACTGCACCCGCCGAGTTCGAGACATCGTCAAACATCGTGCCATATCGTGCCCAAAGGGGTGCATTTTTTACGGTGTTCGTTGCTGACCGGCGGGTGGTTGTTTTAGGACTCATGCCTCTAGTTTCCGGTTGAGTCGAGTAGTTGAGCAGCCCAAGCCTGCTCTTCTCTGCTAGGCAGAGTCCATCTTTGCCTGTCGCTGCGCAGCTGCAAAGAAAAACACGGACTCCCCATCACTTCCGAGCCGACCATGGCTTCAACAATCTTCGGCATCATGGAAATGCCGAGGTCCTTGCAGTACTTTCCGTCGCCGGTACTGCCGAGATCTCAGCTTGGAGGGTCGACCTTCAGCTATTGCAATAGTTGGTGTCTGCAAGCCGGCTTCATGGCACGTCCTTCTTCCCCTAAACCCTAGACCCTAATGCCTGGGTGCAATCAGAGAGTAGTCATGAAGGCGTAGTTGGACACAGAGACCTCGCCTGGCGGACTCCGAGTTTCAAGAATCCGTGCCTGCCTTGTGCGAATCGAAACTCTAAACAGCCTTGCCTGCCTTGTGCGAGAGTGAGACTCGAAACCTTGCTTAGGAAGTTTAGAACTAAACATATAAGTATAGGGGAAAAATATTTTTTCCCCTATAAGGCCCTATAATTATATGTTTAGTACCTTGCTTAGGAAGTTTAGAAAAGCTGGGAGAAGGCATGTGGGGATTTCCGAAAAAGAGGGGACCCTAATATAGGACCCTTAATAGTAGGATCCTTATTATAAGGACCCCAAATAAGGTACCCTAATTTTCGGAAACTCCCATGTGGTGCACGACAGCTGCAGGCCTGGACATCCTTCGGGCTTGCCGCCCCGAAGGCCTGGAAATCGTCATGTCACGGTTTAGGGTTTAGGGTTTAGGGTTTAGGGTGGGCTTTTGCAGTGCAGATGCAAGATCCCTCATATGCTCCTCATCCGGTTCGGCACAAATCTTAAGAGCTGAAGTTTCAAGATTCTTCTGCCGCCGACTTACGCCAAACTGCATTGGGGAGCTGAAACCTGGAGGTGTACCGCGGAGGCTCGCTTCAACGACGCTTCATCGGTGAGTTGTCGGGATCCCAGCATCCCACATTTCTTTTGTGGAGCCGAGATTGAGGGCTTTGTGTTTTGCACGGAGTTTCTGCAGATGGGGCTTGAGGACCTTCATGGTGATCGCGGGCTTAGGGTCTCAGGATTTGATGTTGGGTGTTGTCTGATGGTTACCATATCCATTGGAGCCGGTCTCGCCCCAGTTGCCGTTGCAGGTTCGGTGGCGAAAGCGCAGAAGAGACTATTGACGTGCCCGTCTCAGCTGCTGACTGAAGTGTCGCACATTATCCAAGCAGTTGTGGCAAAACTCTTGGTGCGAGCTCGATGTTGCTTCCTGGCGAAGGAAACAGACTATGGTGACGAGGAGCCGCGGCCTTTGTCGAACATGGCTGATGCTTGATTTCTTAATCTCGTTGGCAAAATGTTTTTTCCTGCGAGTGCTGTGTTGCGAGCAATTGTCGTCTGAAGTGCAAATACCATGGTGCGTGACAATGTGGCTCAGTCGTGCTCATGTATTGCAAAAATGGCTTGGGTGAGCTGCTAGTGAACTGGCGTCTGATGTGAGGGAATTCCGTATCAGCGCCGACAGGGCCGCATGTGGTGGCACAAGTCCCTAGCAGCTTATAGCAATGAGGCCTGGCCGAGGAGGGCCCTTTGCCCCAGAAGGCGGAGTGGGAGCTGTGGCTATATAATCTTACACAATAGTGTAACGCGGTGAGAGGCTTGGCTTGCTTGCTGGCATTTTGGAAGTGCCGCTGCTTCTCGCTCGTGAGCCTGGCATCGTTTGTATGCCCCTTCCGTATCAATCGAGAAGTGCACGCCGCAGGCTAAATCAACTCTGTAGCCAACTTACTCGTCACAGAAATGGATCCGTTCAGTTCTGCACCAGAAAACGGCAGTTGCTCCAAGCGGGCAGCGAAGAGGCTTCGATAGGCGTCGCATGCAGCTTGATATCGCTGGGGCCTCGATCTGGAAGTAAGATCGAGGCGGCGGTTGAGGGCTCCAAAGGCATTCCGGTTTGTGCTGGTTCCCCTCAGGACTTGGCATTGCTTAGCAACCCTCAGGCGAAGCTATTCTGTTGGCCCGCTGCATGGAAGCTTATTGCTTGATCTGCGCACTCAAATTTCCCCGAACTGCCGAGGTTCCAGTCTGCAAAGCCTACCCGCTTTGCAGCGGGTATTAGTATGACACGATCTCCCAGGAAATTGTGTCCATCACGGACTCACAAACGAAACCTTGCACCCGAAGGTGTTGGAACAAAGGACTTAGAAGCATTGAATCCCTCTGCCCTGCTTAAGACAGTATGTCCCCGAAACCCTTCTAAGCCCTCAACCTGAGACCCCGTCAAATTACAGGTTCTCATTTGCATGGCCTTGTGTCTTTGGGTCCTCCGCATGCTCACTGTTTTTCACTACTCAGCAGACCTCGAACCATATGCCGCGCCTGGATTGTCTGAGTGTGAGCGCCGAAACCCTAAACCTACCCTTGTTCTCCCTGACTAAACCCTGCAATGCGGGCTCGTCCTAGCTAGGTGGGAGGCAAATAACTACTCTTGAGAAGCCGGGGATTTTGAGCACTCCCTCATCTCGGCGCTTCAGTTTCATATGCCGACTCATGGCCACATGCCTCGCATGGATGGTCCGAGTGTGGACGCCGAAACCATAAACCCTAAGCCTCTAAACCCCCGAGCCTCGAAACTCTAAGCCAAGCCCCTAAACCCCGAAACCCCTAAAACCCCTAAACCCTAAACCCCTAAAACCCCTAAAACTCCTAAACCCGAAGCCGCTGAGGTGAGGTATCCTCATCCTTCCCTCCGGGAGCAGAACCAGGAGATAAAGGTCTTCGACGCTGCCTCGGTGTTTGTTTGAATTTAGGATTTACAGGGACTATAGGGTCTATAGGGTTTTGGGGTTTAGGTTTTATAGGGTCTATAGGGTTTAGGAATGTTTAGGATGCAATTTGGATTTGGAAGGATTTGGGGTTTTGGTTGGGTCTCGGGGAGTTCTATACGGCTTCGGGGAGGGTTAAGACGGTGAAGCCGTTTCAGTTCTCCTTTAGAGAAAAGCTATTCGCGTGACTTTTTCGGGTCTACGTTGGGGTGTAGTGCTTTCTGGTATCTACGGCGGCTTTAGGCGTTTATGGTTTCTGAGGGTTCTCGTAGCGGTCCTGTACAAACCCAGGACAGAAGATTGCGGACCTTGGCCGACAACCTCTTCGATACACTGTATGCTACAGGCCAGGAGCTTCAGTGGCGAGTATCGATAGAAACGTGCATGCAACTCCCAAAGACACCCCAGGCTGTTGCATATTGCATGCCCACTTTAGGCCATGTCCAGGCATCCCGGGAGACCTTGAACCCGAATATTAGATTGTTCCTAGGTGAGGGCGGTTCGGGTTGCAGGGTAGAGGTATGTGCGCGACTTCGACAAAAATTAAGGATGGTTACAGTTTGATGACGTTGGCCGTGGGAACAAGGGTACTGATTCGGTGGCTCCTTTAACAAGTGTTCTTGTGTGCGTGTGGCTGTAGTTAGTTGTAGTACTGATAGGTGCAGTGGCAGCGCTTGCAGTGGAAGCAGAGTCAGCAACACGTTGTTTTCGTCGTCGCAATAGCCAGGTAGTAGCATTATGTAGCAGAGGACAAAGTAGAAGTAGAAGTAGTGGTGGTAGTAGTAGTAGCAGTAGCAGTAGCAGTAGCAGTAGCAGTAGCAGTAGCAGCTGTAGCCGCCAGCCTGCTCCCCTGACACCCTTGCCTGGGTTTGTAGCACCAAGAGGCTGCGGACTACTAGAGAAGATTAGCGGACGATTACGACCACTTTCGAGGAGCTGGCGGCGGACTATCGCTGCTACTTTAGAGGGCGGGCGGCGGACTATTGCTGCCACTACTACTACTACTACTACTACTACTACTACTGCTACTACTACTTACTGCTACTGCTACTGCTACTGCTACTGCTACTGCTACTGCTACTGCTACTGCTACTACTACTACCACTACTACTACTACTACTACTACTACTACTACTACTACCACAACTACTGCTACTGCTACTGCAA